TATGCCCAAAACAGTGGTATACTGTTTCAACAGTGCCGGATTACCTTCGAAAAATGGGAGTCGAAAATTGATTGCAATTCCAAGCAGCAGGTCGTTCGTTCCGAGTGCAGTCTTTTGTTACACAGACCAGCTCTTTAGTCGGAAACCGGTCACCCGCCGGGAAGTGGTGAAGGTACATGTTACCCAGTCCTAGTCTTATTTTGGCTCTATTTGTTCCTGTTTCAAATATTTTTTTCTATTTTCTGTTGCAGATGGTTAGAAGTTCTCAAGAGTGCCACTTACAGCTCCAAGGTGGAAGATCTCTTCTAGACAGACGCCCATACCTACTCCAAAATTGAATTGCCAAAAATCAAAAAGTTTCAAGGGAAATTCCCAAATTATTCTGTCAACTGAACTGCATAAATGTTTCACCTTCTGGGAAGACAGATTCTATTTTGAAAAGGATGACTGATGGTTTTGGAGCTGATAGATTAGTTGCCTCCTCTGTTATTTTTAGTAATCAGTCTGTGGACTGAATCTTAAAGAGCCAGTTGCAACCGTTTTGAATGACATAAAGGAGTTGCTTTTCTTTCAAACAAGAGAGATCATATGTTTGTTGTCGTAGGAAGGAATCGCATGTACCAAGCATTGGGACCTTCTTGTGACCTTTCAAATAATTGAACTTCTGCTTGGAAGTTGTGAACTTTCAACTTTGACTTGTGCTCTGCCAATAGTGGACCCGTCCCTGAAGCAGTTGACAGGAAGTGGCATCAACATACGAGGGTTTAAGGTGATGTGAACGGGGTCCGAACCCAGAAAGCACAGAACTGCTTTGAAAATGAACAGGCCTTGCTTTTCTCAGCCCTGACAATTTTTCAAAAACTTTGAACCTTGTGTCACTTTTTAATGATCAAAAGTTTGCCTTTGAATGAATGTTGGACAGTTTCTTACTCGGTGGTTATGCTAACTGTCATGTGTTTTTCATTAAAATTTTAATGGCCGACAAGAATGTTGCAAGTATGGTGTCTAGGAAAGTTCTTGCTACTTGCATTATCATGTCGAATTTTGTAATTGATTAAGAATCTTGGGAGACACTGATGCATCAAATTTCCGATTACCTCAAGACTGTGAAATATTTTGTAGAACTTGTTTATTTTGTAAAAAAGGGATAATGAAGTTCATTGCAACATCTTACATTTGACACAGGGTTCCTGAGGAACAGCACAGTGAATCCTGAGTGGTTTAGGACTTGTTTGAAGCAAGGGTATACATCTCCACAGTTAGGTTCTTTGGAGGATGGTTACTAGTCTTAAATAAATAGACGTATGTCACTTTTAAACAGAGAGCAGTTTCAAGCTCGATTATTTTTACAGATATTTTCGTCTGGCTCAGATATTTTTTCTACTTACTCTGCTAATTTTGAAAAATGAGGTGATCGGGCAGAGAGAAGTTTCGCTTGATGGCATTCAAAGGGTGAAAGAGAATGGCAAAAATTAATGTATGAAACTAAGGTATTCCTTTTTGTAACAACTTGCCTGTATAAAGCTTTGTTTTACAGACTTTGGTTTCCTGAGGTTAAGTGCTTGGACCAAGGGCCAAGGAAGTTTTATCCAAATAAGCGTGTACAGTTCTGTTTTTAATTCTGACGGGGTGGAAGTAGTTTGGGTTGTTTTGTGTTATTCATTGAGAAAGATTTGACCAATCAGAATCTTAGGTGTAAGACGTGCACCACGGTTTTTAAACTGCCTTCTGATTGGCTTTACCAAGTCAGTATTTCTAAGGCCTCTTCCGTGGGCCACATCCTGTTCCGATCGGACACAGTTTCTGGAGAGCTTTGAATTAAAAGCAAAGGTCAGATAGAGACTGGATAAAACCTGTTATCAACTTAAACGAATTGTTAAACTTTTATGCGATGGCCTCTTGTGTAAATGTATTTTAATGTAGAGGAGAACTAATTAATAAGTATGTTTAATATTTGAATAATCAAATTGTCTAGTGAGATGGCATAACTATTGTTTGTTTTTTAACGAATAATGTACCACTTGATGCCAAAAGAAGTCAGGTTCTTATGTTGAGTGACCTACTTTCAGAGAGATCCAACCTGTGTCTTTTGGTACCAAACCAACATGGATGCAGAGAAAGATGAGAGAGAGAGCTTAGAGAGCGTGAACCGACTATGAAGATACCTTGGATTGTTTTGGGGAAAGAAGTTGTATCTGTATCTTTTTAAAGTGACGTTTTCTATTCATATGCCAATCTGTAAAGTTCTCAGCATGCCCCACGGTTGTATAGTTTTCTTTACTTTTTAACCAAACGCTGTGATGTTTTCCGAGATTTTTTATTATTTGTTGGAGGGCTACAGCCACTAACGTTTAGTGACGATCTAGGTAAAGTAGCCTGCATACAGAATCTTGGCGTTTTGTCCATCGACAACTACAAATAGCAGTGAAATGTTATCATCTCAACTCTTTCATAGAGATTGTGTCTGATCGTCTTAAAGTCTCTCTTAAGTCTGTCATTTGTTGAGGCCAACTTCAGCGTTACGCCTGAATCATGAATGAATCTATCACCCATTGTTTTGAGTAGAGTCTCTTGTGCCCTCTTATCCGAAACATCAATTATCATGTTGCTTCGACGCCTCTTTGGAAAAGGCAGATTTCTTTTTAAAGGATAAAGCATCAGTAGACCGAAAACCAAACTCCGTAACCCATCCCAGGGGTTGTTTGAATTAGGATGATGTGCATCTTTTAGTTCCTTTGCTTTTTGCTGCTTGTAAAAACTACTTTTAGCAAGGTTTAATGTTCGCACATTTGTATTTGTTACTGTAATATATTATTTTGGTTAGTTCTGTATCCTAACGGTGTTGGTATTTCCTGTACAAAGCATGTGAAGTGTAGCCCAAGTCGTCTTGTATTTATTGCACGGTATTTTGGTTTTCCCCCAAAGTTGATTTCAAGGCGTATCTGCCCTGCAGACGTCAACAACTGATCAACTTTAGTATTACAGTTTGGATATTTTTATCACATGTAAATGATACTTGCTGAAATTGTGACTTAATTTTTGGTATCGCAGGCATGGCGATCTTTCATTTAATAATCCTCGTTATCTTGTTTCAAACTTCCAGAGTTAGTAATTTTTAAGCGGGATGGGTTAATTTATGAGAGCCCCCTTTACGTGACTGTCGTAGAATGCAGTGTATTAGAGCATACTTGTCAATAGAAAACACTGTAGTTTTTACCAGGATGTTTTGCTGTTATGTTTATATACACCATTTAACTCGCTGCGCAGGCTGGAGTGCAGGATTCTCATATATTTGGTGATTCCAGATAGTGTGCTGTAATTTCTAGTCTCGTCGCTTGGATTTGGTGTGTTGACTGTCCTTTACTATTATTATTTTTTATATCAAAAAGATAAATTAATGCAGTTGATCAAAAGGTAACTGCTGGTGGTTAACTGTGAAGAAAACTGGTCAAGGTTAGTGCGCGCGCGTACTTTTTTATTCCTGCACCTATGAGCATTATATTCTAACTTCTCATGAAGAAATGGTTCCAGCCTTTAACAACAGTGAGAGTGGATGTTGGAAAACCACCGAAGTTCCCCGACTTTTGACGGTATACTTACGACATTGTAGTAAGTGGCATTTAGCAAATTGAGAGGAGTTAAGTAGCGATTTGCCGATTTTGAAGATTACACATTGTATCAAGTTTAACCTCAAGTCGTCTTTCTTCAAAAGCTAATCTGCACTGTGTTACAACTTTTTTACAATTTTTTTTCTCAAGTAAACTAGACTCTGTCTGTATTCACTATCGTACTTAGACTAAGGGAGTCAATTTTTGTTTTGACTGCCAATTATCTCCACGCATTGGACTGCCAACTAGTGTTCTAAGATGATCTGGTGAGCCAGGATCGATGACGTAAACCATTAACTTATTATTGTATGCTCTTTGTTTGATTGGAGACAGTGAAGGACTGGCGAGGTATAATTAATTGGCACATTAAGCGAGCATTTGAAGCCACGCATATTTTGCTGTCTTTGTATGATGATGTGCTCTTCCTTAGACACGATTTCCTTTCCAACAAAACTCGAAGAACTGTAAATTCCTGCTTTAATGCACATGTGTAAATTGTGTTCAACATCACATGATATAGGCACTAATAAGGTAGACAGTGATGCTTTTTTCTTTCTTTTTGTGGAAACCAATAATTGAATGAATGTTGCAATTTCGAATGCGTGGAAAAGTAGTGAGTTGGGTTCCTTTTGACATTAATTGAGAGGGAACGCCTCTAACTAATTTAAACCGACGCAACTTGCTTATTCGTTTACACACTGAAAGCAAGTATATCATTGAAATGCATTTTGATATTAGGTTTAGAACTTATTTTTAATCACCTTGTAAATAATTATTTAGAGGGTAAGTAAAAAAGGAAACATTTTTTGCAAAGTAGGTAATAAATGCATGTAGAAACGAAGGGAGATATTTTAGACATTGCTTTGATGGGCTGAGAACAGCGACGTGCTATGATTTTGTAACCGCATTGTTAGACCATCGTGTATTCTTGTGGAAGAATTTACCAACAAATTATACCACAGAGCTCTGTATTTTGCATGTATTAACAAACCCGTGTCAGACAAGTGATATTATTTCTAATGCGTTTTAATTTGTACATGCGTCTGGTTTTCCTTTGGTTTTTCTTTTCCTCCTAACGATACAGCCGAATTTTGAAGTCTAGTCATTAAAAAGTATTCCTCCCTCGACAATATTTTTTTTATTTCAATATTACCGGCTATTTTAAATCGACCATGTAGTCACGTACATGTAATGACTGTTTCCCTCAGATGGCAACTTTCCAAACCTTTCTGTTTTTTTTTTGACAGTGGCACTAATACTGCTGCTGGTTTCAAGGCTAATGGCCCTTCAACAGTTCGATTACAAATAGCAATGAGCTATTTCCCCTTCCTATCTCGTCCCTTATGTACGCATGCGCACCGCTCTTAAAGCCTTTGGAGCTGAACACTTTGACCATTACTGCACCCAATAGGAATGTTACTTCGTTTCTTTATCACCACGTGATGACACAGTTTGTTGGCCAATGAGGCGCTTGGAGGCTACCCTTCCTGGGCTTTTCACAAGGGACAATTTCTCATTTTGCAGGCTGACCCTATGAGGAAAACACAGGTAACACTCGGAGCTCGAATGATTCCAGGTGGAACTTTCAAGTAAGTCGATTTTCTACCTTTCATTAATGCGTCACAATATTGCTTGGTTACTTCCTACGTTTCCAACAACACCGCGAAAGCGTGAAAGCGAATTTTCAACAACTGTTGCTCATCTCACAATAGTTAGCTATCTTGGTTTAAATATCCTTTATCATGGTCTCTGTATCCCAATGTCATATTGGCTGTATATCATTGGTTCTTTCTATTCTTTTAACATTCGCATGGTCCTTCCTCGCAGAGATTTCATATCCCAAAGTAAAATGTAAAAAAAAATCGTTTTCCGACGTTATAAATAGTGACACTATATGGGAGATATTTTTAAGTTACATTGTTTATTAATTATAAATAAGCACCAGGTCAGTTTCCCTATATAGTTTGTTTCACATAATTGAGAATTAATGTAAAGTATGAACTGCTGTTTATGCCACAGTGTCTGAAACAACGAGTATCCAAAGTCTTACGTCTGAAGACAGCCCTCCCCTTTCTCCCATTTTTTCCTCATCTCTGCTCTCAACATGATCCCAGTAACCATGGTGAAAAGACATCTTTCCCTTGATGTCCTCCTGTTTTGTATATTAGCAAGCTTGTGTCATGGTAAGTGGTTATGGAAACTTTCACCGTTAAGCTATCTGCATAAGGTGTTTGTGACTCGAGATTGGAGGTATTTTACTCAATTAATGGATTTTCTTTGCTTTTTGGTACCAAGAAATGTATGCAAGGAGATTATAGAAGAAACGTCGCCATGAGGACAACATGTTTTGCCCTTTATAATAGCTGGCATCTTATGCCAATTTACTTATTAAGATAATTATTTTATGGTAGATTGTCGTTTAAAATTGGTCTTATTTCCTTGTTTGTGTATTGCGGAAGTAGTCAGAAATATATTCTTTACAGAAAGAAGCAAACATACATCACCAGCACTCAATGAACACGGAAATACCAAGAGTAAGTTAGACAAGTGACTCCGTGCTAGAATTTGGAATCAATTTTCGTTATTCTTCACTTGGCTCCGAAATACGATACACATGTACAGTGCGTACAGGAAATCCAGTCTAGGGCCAAGAACAAAAAGGAAGTAAAACAACGAAAAGCATGAATTAGAGCCGCGGAATGGTTTACAGAAAAACACACTGACATTAAGAGCTTTAAGTAAGTGAGATAAAACTGAAAGCCACTTTGTACTTTCGAGGAAAACATGTCTGTCGAGGATTTTCATCCAAAAATATCCCCAACTAGTCATCCTTCTTGTATCTTCAAAACAAGGACGGAGTGAAAACGTATTTCCCACGTTTCCTTCTCAATTAATTACTGATATTCAAATATATTGTAAGATATACCACGTAGACTTTCGTGGTTTGTAGCTGATCCACCAAAAATGTTACTAGTGGGCCAGTTTGGTAGGCCTATTTCCAAAAAGCATTTAGAAACAACGCACACTTAAGTGGGCGCATGGCTGCGCTGATAGGACCATTTATCTTCTATGTAATTGAGATCAATGGATATAGGATTGAAGAATAGCGCGTGCGTTTTGCTATTCACGCGCTTTATTTTGCCCATGTGCCGTTGGAACACTGTATTTCGAGCTATGACTAAACATTACGTCCCTCCAGTAATACGGGCGGTTCACAGTAGCACGCCTCCTAGAGTCTGCAAAACGTTGGCCAATCACAATGTTTCCAAACGTGCGTTGAGTCGACAGATTTCGCGCATCGTGATTGGCCAACGCGTAGCAAACTGGAGACGCGCTATTGTGAAACGCGCGTATTGACATCGGGCTTCCTTTACAGTTGACCCCTGGGTACACCCTTCCCCTTGCAGATTAAGTGCTGGTGTTCCCTGTTGTGGCTCCCATTCTGCCAAAGACTGAAAAAAAATCTGTTCTCTTTTTCTCTGTTACGGTACAGCTAAAATACCCAATGGTATTCATCTGATAACATTGACCGCGAAGGCCCCTGAGTGGTCTTTTCAATCACCTAATTTCAACCTCGGCTTGTACCCCAATGATTTCCTCGGTGTCTGGCTCATCAAAGTGGATAGCGGGTCCAAAGTGATTTTTGACTTCGACGTGTTGGAGATTGACAAAGGTGACTTACTGGAAATCGGCAATGGGCAGGATGCTTCTGACTTGGCCTCCGAGTTGGACATCAGCGTCATCACTCGCTTGACTGGTAACTTAAGCGCTGAAGGTGTGCGCTTGATAGCTAAGGGTAACGAGGCCTGGTTGAAGTTTCGGAGCAATCAAGATACAACCTGCCGAGGGTTTTCAGTGACAGTGAGGATGCAAGATGCAAGAAGGATGCAAGAAGAAGGTGGGTATCGAAACAGCCTCGGTTGTCAACTAAATGAGGATTCACCTAGCTGATTTCGAACTAAAGGTTTCATGTGTGGAGAAAAAGTGAAAAAAAATGGGCACGAAAAATTCCCTCAAGTAACACTTTGCTATCACTGAAAGTGATTGTAACAATTTTTCAAACTACCCTTTGTTCATTTCTAGGATTTTGCAAACAAGATTTTCAGTGTGCTAGGCGAGTAGAGGGTATAACTTGCCTGGGCAACGAATCAGTTTGCGACGGTTTTGAGCAGTGTAAAGACAGGTCGGATGAGGCGAATTGTGGTAAATAATGCTGTCACATAATATTTAGTAATGCCACATTAAATTGCCCGATTCTTGGTGCCAAAGACTGCGTGATATCTCCTTACAGATTTCTCTTGAAAAAGAATCCGGCCATGTTCGACAAAATAGGTGCTGATTTTGTTTTGTGAACAATATCGCAGATTCGTCACGATATGACAGATCTGACATCTCTTCATGCAAGATTTGTGCTGCTAATCAACAATACGACCATGGTAGGAACTTTCACAGTAACTTATAATGTAGGTTGGATGCTTTAACATGCCCGGAAAACCCTTGTCAAAATTCTACCTTTGAAATTCAATTTATAGGCATTTGTGGAAAAGATAGAAAATTACATTTTCTCTATCTGGTGTTGAACAAGAAATGTTCCCCTAGGCCTAAGCAGTCTTACAAAATTGGCTTTGGATTTTATCCTCCAGTAAGAGCTCTCAGCTTTGTGAAGTCCGTCCTGAAGTGCTATGTGGTTAACTTTTTTATGAAGTGAAGAAACTAAAATGTCAAAGTAAACAATTGTCTCTATATTTCCCTCAGAAAATCACGCTTGTCCTACATCCCTTCCTGACCAACAAACCTGCACCCGTCCTAGCCCATTATGTGGCTGTGGCGGTAGAGGCAAAGAGCTGGGAATACTGTGTATTGGATGGTACCCTGCCATGCTAAGAACAGTGCCTGATGAAACACACTCTCTGTACGTCAATTCTAAGGTCTAGCGACTATAACACAGTTTGCTGTAATGTAAATTATTCAGTTTGAACGATGACTATGCAAGTAACCTGTTTGTTTCCCAACAAAATTATTAAATGCTTTTGCGCATTGAATATTTAACATGAGAAATAATTAACATATTATAGTGCCCGACACATTTTTATGGCTATTTTGTGTCACTATGGTTCTAAAGCAAACCGAAATCAATGTTAAACCTTGATGTATGAGTGTTGATAAATTTGGGGTCATAGAATCAGATTTGAAAAATGATTCACGTCTAAGCTTTTCCTTATCCACTGTAGATTTCTTTCTGGGATAAATGTGAATAAACTCAAGAACAGTCCATTCAAGATGTTTCCAAACCTTAGAAATTTGAAAGTTTTGTGAGTATCTGCAATGATCTTTTAAACTAACTTAGATTATGATTAACTTAAAAAATTTAACTGTCGTAACCTAGTTGAAGTAAATTTAACCTAACTTTGTTAAAGTTAATTTAAATTAACTTTAACTAATTTAACTAATTTAAAAAGTTAAAATTAACTGTCTTTAGATTGAATGTAATCAAATTATTCTTATTTGATTTCCAGGGTTATTCAGGCGACCAGTGGTGCATCGGATTTAAAGAGACATGCGTTTGATGGCTTCGAAGGTTTGACCAGTCTGTGAGTTTAATGTGTAACGTACAGCTTTCTGTGTTGTCAGTTTGTATTTAGGTTTAAAGCTTTGAATTAAACGAGGATTTTTTTTTCAAATTCAGCACTTGTCTTTGTCATATATAGGCCCCTTTTTATCAGCGTTTAATAGTTACTGTAGAACCAACTGCATATGACCATCATCAGTTTTATTTATGAAGGTTGTTTGTTTTTTTTTGTCTCCAGGGTAATATTTGATATTCATTTGAGAAAAATCGAATCAAAGGCATTTGCCGGACTTGATCAATTGGACACTCTGTAAGTAGATTTTTTGGTATTATTTTTCCATCTTTCTTAGGTCCAGCAGGATTTGGTATAATGTAACATTTTCCTTTATGAATAATTTTAAGAGGTATACCAGGGCTGGACTGCGCTTACTCGTTATTTTTTTCTTATCTCAGGGCATTTTTTGGAAAGGAAGCAACTTCTGATCTGCCTGTAATTGAAAACGGGGCTTTTGAGGATATTGCTGACAAGCTATCATATTTGTGAGTATTCATCTCCCCACGGCTATGGAGCTTTATACTTTTTGCCATATACGAAAAGAAGAAACTGTAGAAAGCCTCGCTCCAAGCGGGCTTTCCTAAACTCCTCACCCACCCCCTCATACTGTGGCACTTGACCCACTGTAAGGTAGTATATTTGGACTGCTACAATTATAGTGCCCAAACCTTTCAAAATCAACTGGAATACTGTCTTGTCACTCGAAACAAGACATGACTGTGTACTTACTAAGTGGTTTAATTTTCCTGCTTGTTTCAGGTTCGTGGATGATTACCGGTTTT